CCCTAGCAACGGTTTGTTTGCAGTAGTGACGTCACACTTCCGGGACCAATTTTTGGACCGCACTATGAAAATTGCGCTATCCTTGACAACCTGTCGAACAGAAAAAAGTTTTGATGTGAGCCTTTCTATTGGAGAAATATACGAATACCGGCGATCGGCCTTTTATTTTATTTTTGCTAACAGCATTGCGTTCTAGACTTTATACGTAAAACGCGCGACACGGACCACGGTCATCGTAAACACGATGTCCACGCTTTTTTGCCTCTTGCGTCGACAAGGTACTAATAAACGAAAACACAAATTTTACCTATACTAAATCGGTGCCCCAACACATTCGATAACACTACATACCCACACGCAGCTCTTGCGTTAGCCTTACAAAAATAGTTATGTACTTCCCGCACCGGGTCTATAGAAAATAGTGTATAGGGGTTATAGATACTCTAAAGAAAATATATCCACCTTTATATCCACTGTGTATAGCTGTTCGGCCGCTCTTTTTATAGACTTTCTATAGAACTTGGTGTATATAGATTGTACACAAATTGCAAAGAAAACAGACAGAGGTTTTAGCAACGTTTCCATCCCCTTTGGTAAAACAATAAGTCAATTTTTTTCCGAAAAGTCTTTTTTTTTTTTTCAAATATTACTTTTGGGTTTGTCATTGAAGCATGCTCTTGCCACTTCCCGTGTACACATATGCAGACATAACAAACACACACGTAACGGAGCACTCGTAACGCTATTAATTCAAGAGTGTTGATTGCTCCATCGCTGTATATATACCCAACGCTTGAAGGGCAGTCACTTGAACGAGAGCCATCCCAGAAGTTTAAATTTTTACAAGTATGTTTCTTTTTTTTTTTTTTTTTGCACATAATTTATACGAAATGTGGAGGATAAGGGTTCGTGAACTGCATCTTCAACTACAGAGCATTTCTAAGAGGCGATAATTATTTCACGCAGTCGAAAAAAGCGGTCTCAGCAAGAAGGCTGCGACTGGGTGATGTTTGTAAGTCCAGCCTCAGGGCACCGCCATCTCGCTCATTTGGTGTCCGCTTGGGCGCAGCCATAATCCGTTACGACGCTTTAGCGAGGCTTCGCAATCGGATTATGACGCGTCCAAGCGCACCCAAACTAAACAAGATGGCAGCGCCCTGAGGCCGGACTTGCAAACGTGTCTTTCTGCCGTTGCGGTGGCGCTGATGTCAGGACGGCGCATGCGCAGTGGCTTCACTTCACGCGAATCTGTTTTCTGCACATGCGCAGTGCTCACACCTGGTGCGGGCAAACGCGCACTTGTTTGTAAAGAACGCGATGATCTAGAGTCGGTGACAAGTTTAAAAAATTCTGCAAGATGGGGAAAAAAAAAAGAAGCTTTTTGTGTAATTTTATTAAGTTTTAGATAACTGGGAACCATAATTTTTAAGCAGAAAGATGGCCGAATGAACCCTTTCAAAAGTCTATCGAGCAATATTGACGGTCGCCATAGTTTTTCTTGGAGACGGGCAATGGCCGAGGTGGAGCAAACGCGTTCGGTGGAAACGGCAGCTATAGGGACGAGGAGAGATGGATGTGGGATGGACAAAATGCCGGGGAAGTCAGCTTTAACAATTTATAGGTCCCGAAGGCAAGACATAAAGGAGGAAGGTATATTAGATACTTTAAGAGGGAGCGCTCTGCCGTTTGAGCCGAAGACGGGAGTCTTAAGAGAGAGAGAATAAACTTAAGAACAGAAATCTAGAGGGCCAAACTTGGAGACGCAGATACAATGTGCGCATTATGTATAGAGGAGACGGAAACAATTGAAGCCTGTGATTCCAAAATGTAAGCAGCTTAGTCCTGCCCTTCTCGAAGGGGCGACAGACGTGCCCGTGGCTCTGGGTTTCGCTTGAGAAGATGGAAGTGCATAGTGACTATAGAAGAGTAGAGGCAACGAAGTGGAGGTAGCAGCGCTGTTGAAAATTACCTTACAAAAATTGAACAAAGTACAGCTAATTAGCACAGCTGGGGGGCAGGCGGGACAGAAGATGATGTGTGTGTGTGTGTTTTGTTTTTTCGTTTTTTTTTTTTTTTTCTGCGCGATTTTTGAAGGTAATTTTCATCGCCTGGTGATAAGGAAGCGCATCGGCTTGAAAGGGGAAATCGTGATTTTACCGCTGTATTTAGGCTAGGTGGCGCAAGCTTCCGCCCGTTAGAAAGGGACAGCCGTTATTATCCACTCATTGTCCACGGACTCGTAATAGTGGACGGGCGACATGGCGCGGACTTTTGAAAAGGGTCTACTGTTTTCACTCTAAAGGTGGCTCTACGCGTGCCCATTGCCACGGGCTGGTTTGCAGCGGTTCAGTCTGAGGGCCCTCTAAGTGCCTGTAAAACAGAACCTTTATGAGTGAGTTCTAAATTTTTATTAACGGGAGTTATAGGCAGTCTTGCGCCCGTTACTTGTGAAATGTAATGGATTACAATTAGAGATTGCCGAGCCTCAGATCTGATGGATTACCGTTAGAAAAATTACTTTCGCTTAAAAGTAACGCATCACTTTATTCGTTACGTTGCAAATTACTTTCACGTTACCTCTCCCGCGCATTTATCGAAAAAACAATAGAAACAATTTTGATGCTTTTCGAAACTGTTCTGCAGCACTACTTTCTATTTCTCGTACGCCCGCATTATGGTAGTCATTGTAAAAATCAAATAGTGCATTTAAAAGAAAGATGTAGGGGCACTCTGTTCACCTGTAAGCTGAGAAGGCAGCGAAATTCGCAACCCCACCCGCCGTTCCGCTATATGATCCCTGGAACTCTGCAGACAAAGCTAGCGGTGCGCATGCTCAGCGGCGGCTTCCACCTCTGCTAGGAGATCAAAGAAGACAACACCACAACACCTACTCGGCGTTGTTTTCTTGATTTTTTTAAAAATTGTATATTTGTATTTGCCCTTGCACGTTTTTCTATAGTAAATCTAGCGGCTGGTCATACAAAAAAAAAATGCGTGTTTTCTTTTCGGTTATTTTCTGCTTTATGATTTTTTTAATATTTTGTTGGCCTCGCAATTTTTATGCTGCTGAATTTCCTGCTCGTATTGCCCCACTTTTTGTATTATGTTCCTATTTTTAAAAAGTAACGAGTACCTAAAGTGATTGGTTACTAATATTTGTAAAGAAATTAATTTAAGAATTTCTACCGCAAAACAAAGTAGCGTGACAATTACACAATTACTTGAAAAAGTAACGGATTACTTCCCAAGTCTGGTTATAATAAGTTAGAGTGAATTAAACGGTTCGGAGTTGATTTTGTATTGAATTTTTACGATAATTTTTTTGTGTGTGTGTGTTTTGTCTATATTTTACGGACCTCAAAATAACCTATTCTACGTAGTCGTTTTTTTTTTCATTTTTTTTTTTATAATGGTGAAACGTTGATCCTTAAACCATACTTGTGCCACCCATACCGACGTGCGGTCCCGTATCACTACTGCGCGATGCACGCGTGAAGTACCCCCAGGCTAGTACTTGTACTGACCCGATATAATCTCTCGTCAACAGCGTGTAATAATGCCCCACTACTCTGGCAGGTTAAACTCACGATGTTTACAACCCGAATGTTTTCGCAATTTATTTCCCCCATCACCCGCATTAGTATTTAGAAGCCGCGTATTCTAGCGTGAATAAATAATGATTAGATCAACATTTTGCAGAAGCGATTACAAATTCGAGGAGATTAATGCGTCGTGTGTCACTATTGCCGTGAGACCATGTGTAATCTGGCAGCAGCGCCAGAACGGCAAAGACCGGTTAATTCCTTGGAAATGGTATTTTAATCCGAACGAAGCGGGCAAGAAAAAAAAAATATAAGGGATGGGTGTTCCCACTTATATTTGAACAATGCCTTTACAGAATTATAGAATGCTCGATCCGCTGATTTTTTTAAAGTCCTTTTCACATCTTCTAGCCCTGGCGGGAATGGTAGCGCTGCTTCGAGCAATACAGATTATGCTGTGCTTGTAAGCATGAATCGCGGGACCGCTCTTGAAAGCGCCGATTTTCGCACCTATACCCTTCTAGGTTCTAGCCCACCGTACGCAAACTGCATTTTCAGGTTAACCCAACGTTACTAAAACACTCAGTTGGGAAACTCGCCGTCGAAACCTGGGCCGCTGGCGTCCACCGAGACCGAGCTAAATGCGACAACAGCGCCACTCTTTTCCGTTTGTCTGTACTATGGTCACCTCAAGCTTTTTCAAAGCCTGTTTTTGCGTAAAAACAAACGAAAAAGACTCTTTTTGCATGAAATTTAATGGAGTTTAGTACAAAAAGAGGGGCGCGTTATGTTTTTAAAATCTTTAGTTTGCAGGGTTCTGCGACACAATTAATATTGTTTTTATAGGACCATGCCTCAGCGGGCCTTTCAAGTAGCGCGTCCCGCCCTAGGTGCATTTTAACTTCGCAAGTTGAACGCGGCGCGTTCGCCGGGGAGACGGTGGTGGCACCACTGTAACCTCTACCGCTGTATCTGTTCTTAAAGCCAAAATTGAAGTCACGTGCAGTTCCTCTAGTGGCCGCTGCGGGAGAAATGGTGGCGTTGTGTTCGTCATTAGCTCGGTGCTTGGAGGCAGATTAGGGCCACTTTTTCAAAGCTGTCTCTGTGGGAGTTTCCCAACTGAGTGTTTTAGTAACGTTGGGTTAACCCATGTGTCTCTTGTTGTTGTTTTTCTGTATTTTTTTTCTACCTCGTTGTTGATTGAATTTGCTCCTTATTGATTGGCTGTCGGGCAGTTCCGCGAAGTAAATAAACGCACAACTGGCATTTTTTACAGCTGAAACATGCGTCAAACATCTTGTATAAAACAGCGGCTCCTCAGAAACACCTGCGGCTCCCCGCGCACAAACGTGCGCGAAGAGACAAAAGGAACACGTGTTCTTTCCCAACGATACAAGTTACGCGACAGCTGTTTCGAGAGCCTCGCCGTTAAGTCAGAAAACACGTCAGTTTTTAGCTATGCGGAAAAAAGAAGAGTTCAATCTCTCGAACAGCGCGTTTGAAAAGAACGCCGTGGCAGACCTCAAACTCGGAGCCCATACGGAGGAGGCGATACCTCTGTCGACTGTTCCGCTGTGCCGTGAACTTCTTCGAACGGGCGATACGGGACAACTACTTTCAGTGTGGCCCTTATTAATGTACGTATTTGCTGTTCACGCGGATCTATGGATGGATAAGTACGACCGAACCCTTTGAATCTGGCGACGTCTTGCGCCACCTGGCGAGTGGTAAGGCTTTCTTTCCCAATGACGCGAATGCTTGCGACTAGATGCGTTAAAACCTCACTCACGCCATTTATCGGCTAGCCGTGAAATAGTCTGCGCATCAATTTTTTCTTATTGGCTCGAAGAACTTTTCACGATGTTATAAACGACAATTTCTCATAAATAGTCTGTACATTCGATGTCGAAAATGCTGCAAAACCTTCGCCCTAGTGAAGGAAAATTCTAGGTCCACATCATAGATGGCGCCACCGAGCCGGCGTGTTCTCCCGTCGTAGGAGGTCTAAAAAGCTCGGTCGTAAGCAAACGCAAGTGTATGAACCAGCCTTTAGACGCTACAGCTGTTCCGAGGTATGCCGTAAAATCAGGAAACGCGTCAGGCTTGAGCTATCCGGAAAAAATTCAACTCTCAAACCGCTCGTTTGGGAAGAACGCCGTAGTAGCAGAACCTCAAACGCGTAGTGCTGACGGAGGAGACGGGACCTCTGTCGAGGCGTCTCCGCCGCACGCGGTGTGCGTCACTCTAAAGGAAAAGGGTATCACCTTACACCCTTTTGTCCTATATAATGCCCCCAAAGCTTAGTTCGACGTACAGTGCAGTGAGTGCCCTATAGTCGAACAGACGGCCCCAAATTTTATGAGGGGCTTGATAACGGTGCGATATAACTTATTAAATAGCTAAAGTACGTATCAAAGGCAACAGAAAGAAAACTCTGAGGTTTTGCAGTAGAGCCAAAAAAAAAAACTCGATAATCTTCTTTTTTTTTTTAGTTAGTGACGTGTGCATTAGCTATTTTAATAAGTTGTACCACACGGCTATCAAGCCTCTCATGAAAGTTTGTACCGTCACATCGACTTCAGTGCGCTGTACGTCGAACTCAAGTTTCGGGGTGTATTATATGGGACAAGGGGTGTATTATTTCACCCCTTGTCCCATATAATACACCCCAAAACTTCTTTTTAGAGTGCTTTCTTGAACGGGCTGCACAAGCCGGTTACTCCGAGTGTGGCACTTAATAATGTGTGTATTCAAATATAATTTGTTTTTTTATTTATATTGATGGTGGATGGGGGATACGGGTTGAGCCCTTTGAACTGGGCGACGATTTGCGCCATCTAGCCAGTGAGAGGGTGATGAACACGCGATGATGATGTTGGTGATGATGGGGCTTTTTTTCTTCGCAATGCGCAAGTTAAAAAACTTCGTGCGATAACGTAGACTTTGAAAAAAATATGTTGATAGCGCGTGGCACTTTTATTGCGGCAGAAGAAGGGAATTCTCGATACACCAAGACGCAGTTCCGACCTCCCGTGGTAGCGGTGGCGCTGCGGTCGTCAGGGCGGCGCATGCGGATCTGGCGTGCTCACGTGCAGTGCACCCGTAGCTGGTGTGAGCAAACTCGGACTTGTTTGTAAACAGCTTGTTGATCTTTAGACGAATGCAACCGCGGGTATGTGTCTTCCTCGGGCAGGCAAGCCTGTGCAATTGCAAGCTCGTCATAGCTATATTAGCTATGTCCACGCGCACGTTAGGCTTGCACGCATATGGCACCAGCCGGTCTGGCATGCTTGTAATTGTCTATGGCGACGTGAGCGATTGAAAGCGTCGCAGTGGTCGGCCTGTCACGATTTACCGAATGCTGACTACACTCTCAGAAAAAAGGGTATCACCGTACACCCTTTTGTCTTATATAATGCACCCCAAAACTTTAGTTTGACGTACAGCGCACTGACGTCGAGCAGACGGCCCCAACTTTTACGAAGGGCTTGATAACGGTGCAATATCAATCAATCAATCAATTTTATTTACATCATCATCAGATAGTGATGTGGGCTGCAAAGGCAAAAAGTCGAAACCGTTTTGACTTGACAAGGCCTCTGCAGCCTTACAATTGGCATATGGTAGCAAACAACAGCAACCAGGGAAAAACAAGCAACAGTGACATGCGATTAAAAAAAAATTTATACATTGTATTTGCTGCTAGAGGAAGGATTTGGCCTTATACACAAAGAACGTCAGCATCTAGTGAGTAGTGACTGGATTATACAGGAAACAAAATATATAAAACGGATGTAATTACAGCTCACAAAGACAATTTACTTTCTATTTGTATAAGCAAAGTTCTCGAATTACATTTAGATGTAGGTTTTCAATGTTTGACAAGTTTTGTTTTTCTACTTTATTTAAGACAGACGGAAGATTATAGCTTAACATTTCAAGCCCATAGTTCGTGCGATTTAATGGAATTTTCCAGCGCTCCCTTTCCCTAACGTCATGAGGTTTGGAAATGGGAGTTATATTTGAAATTCAAGTAAAAAATGCTTCATTACATCGAAGGGTGAATCTATATCGTGTGTGGAGAGTATACTCATTTGAATCAAGAATAGATGTTAGATGCAACTCTTTGAATAGAGGAGGAGTGTGTGTGTCAAAAGACACATTTTGTATTATGCGAACAGCCTTTTTTGAAGAATATGCAATTTATTTAGGTTGGACAGGGTTGTAGTGCTCCACACAAAGCTACAGTAATTTAAAATGGGTTCGAAAAGAGCTTTGTATATAAGCAATCTTAAACGACAAGGCGGTATATTTTTAATCTGGTACAATTTTCCCAGCACTTTTGAAAATTTTTTTGGCTATATTGATAATATGATCATTCCAAGACATGTGGTTGTTAAAATAAACTCCAAGCGTGTTCACATTTTGAACGAGTTCAATTTTAGAGACGCCAAGAACAATATTTAAAATTGTAACTAACATTTCTATCCTTATGTCTGAAAGGGACCGCCTTACTTTTGCCCATATTTATTTCTAACGAGTTCACTACACTCGATTCATATAGCTTCTGTAATGGGGTGTTGGTTTCATACACCAGTTCCTGTATCTCAGTGCCTGAAAAAAATAAGCTAGTATCATCAGCATGAATGATGAAAGAGGCGGTCCTTCTGATGTTAGCGATATCATTTATATACAAGTTAAATAATAGAGAACCTAAGATGCTACCTTGTGGTACTCCAGGTCTGATAGGTTGAACGGTAGAGTTTTGACCCTTTATTACAACACATTGCCGCCGAAAATTAAGATATGATTTTATAATATCGGGTGTTACGCCACGGACTCCATAATATTCGCGCTTTTTTATGAGAGTAATATGATCGATACGATCAAATACTTTAGAATATTAATCTATAAAAACACCTAAAATTAATTTTTCTTTCTTCGAAAGACCTTAATATTAGCTCTTTCTGATGTAACAATGCCAATTCCGTTGATCGGCCTTTGCGAAAACCGAACTGAGAGTCTGTACTTATTGAAAAACTTTTACAGAAACTTGTTAATCTATTATGAATTATTTTTCAAGGCATTTAGGAAACAGACGTAGTATTAAATATAGGTCTATAATTTGAAAATTCGTTTTTGTTTCCACCTTTAAAAAAAATAATTCTTGCAATCTGCATTTTTGTAGGAAATACACCACTATAGAACGAGGCATTCATAATATGTGTTAAAACTGGTGTTAAGACATCTAATACATACTTAATTAATTTGATCTGGAAATCATCTATGTCAGAGGAGTTACTGTTTTTAAATTACTTATTAAATATTACTTATTAAACAGTTAAAGTATGTATCAAAGAGTACAGAAGAAGAAAAAAAACACTGAGGTTTTGCAGCAAAGCAAAAAAAAAACGATTTTTTTTCTGTATTTAGTAACACGCACATCAGCTATTTTAATAACTTTTACCACTCGCCTATAAAACCGCCCGTGAAAGTTGGTACCATCGGTTCGACGTTAACGCGCTCTCCGTCGAACTGGAGTTTTTGGGGTGTCTTATATGGGACAAGGGGTGTAAGAATATACTCTCTTTCACTGGGAGTGCATGAAATCAGCAAAAATTTTGACATCGACGGAAATAAGAGTAACGTAAGAACTTAAATTTTGACGTTGGTTGTCAGTGTTGCTTGCTTTCAGGGTGCAGATTTCAGGCTTCCACCATGTTCATTACAAACACCATCGAAGCTGTTTTTCGCAAGGTAATGACGTCAATAGAGGAAACCATCCGAGGGCGCCACCAAAACATCTCGCCGCCAATAGTCGGTGACAGGTTAAGAACTCCTTGCCTCGAGCGAGAGCTTCCTGCCTTCGATAATAGACAGTTTTGGAATACCGTTGCTAGCTCTTACGTACGCAATACGCAATAGTATAGCGTACGCTAAAAACTAACTGCTCGGAGCGATTTTAGTTGTGCGTTCCGTAAACGTTGCCGAGTGAACATCCTGCATAATCTTGATTAAATTTGCCAGAGCCGTAGAATTCCACGTACTTACAGCGACACCATGCTCCTCCAAATAAATATTGAAAATGAAAATGTTTCCAATACTTTTACTTCAAATTAAGCTAAGCCGCAGCTGCCTGGGCCCGTTTGCTCGAAGCACTAACCGCGGCTAAAGTTAGCCGCAGTACCTAGGAGAGGGATTTTGAGATCACGTGGCTGGCTCGGTAGGGATGCGGGGAAACATGGCGGTGCCCCAGTGAGTGAGCGCCGCTCGCTTTGGAACTAATATGTCGTTGTGGTTGCAATATCGGGAGCGTTAGTCAGCAACGAATAATGCAGGAGGCTTTCGCTTTGCCTTACCTCACTTAAACCGCAAAGCATGGGCAATGACATCGCCGCATTTTTTAGATAGTGTTTCGATTCTGGGCACTCCTAAGCCTAAATGAACGCGATAATTGTCGGCATAGCAACGTCTTTGGAAAGCGAATTGTTGATAGCACACAATAGCAGACGGCGTCCCAACATATCTTTTTTTCTAAATTATCCGAGGTGCATGCTACGACTGCAGTTGCACGCGTCGCACGTGCTGGCGTCTGCAGTAGTAACCGTTCTAAAGCAAAAAGTATAAAACAAATTTTGCCTTGCACGCGTGTTCGTTAAAGCCTTATTATGTTTTTTTACCTCAAATCTTTTATAACAGGAAGGCCAGCGCGCGTGAACCGTAGAATTACACTTCCAGCGTTCTCCTCGCGATGCTTGGATAATTTAGAAAAAAATTCTGTCGGGACGCTGTCTGCTTTTGTGTGCTATCAACAATCCGCTTTCCAAAGACGTTGCTATGCCGACAATTATCGCGTTCATTTAGGCTTAGGAATTCCCAGAATCGAAACACTATCTAAAAAATCCGGCGATGTCATTGCCCATGCTTTGCGGTTTAAGTGAGGTAAGGCAAAGCGAAAGCCTCCTGCATTATTCGTTGCTGACTAACGCTCCCGATATTGCAACCACAACGACATATTAGTTCCAAAGCGAGCGGCGCTCACTCACTGGGGCACCGCCATGTTTCCCCGCATCCCTACCGAGCCAGCCACGTGATCTCAAAATCCCTCTCCTAGGTACTGCGGCTAACTTTAGCCGCGGTTAGTGCTTCGAGCAAACGGGCCCTGGTCAAGTGCGCTTTTCTGTGGGTATGGTGGCTACGAGTACCAGTGAGTATATAGCCAAATTCCAACAGCCTCCGTCAATCACACCGTGGAAACAGCAGCTTTCATCAATACTATCCCGGGAAGAAATCCATGACCTGTTGATGTCCACTGCACGGCGACGGCGATTTCTCGGAGAGTCGTTCGTCTGTCTGCGATGAACTGCGCGAAGGGGCGTTGAGCAGTTCGCAACGTTCACGTGTATCGCGAGCTGTGAATATCTTCACTCTACACTCCTTCAGCTGCACGGAGTTCTGACTCGACTGCGGTAGGTCCCGGAAAGAATTGCCGAGCTGAACGCTATGTAATTTCGCGTAACACTGAACTTCGCGAACACCACGTCGCCCATATGCTGCGCCAGTCGAGGTGACCGCCATCTTGAAACTAGTGCTCTCGCGGGCCCTGAGATCTCTCGAGAGGTTCCCGCAAAGCCCGTTAGCCCGCAGCGCGAAATCCCCAGCGTTGCGTGCGTACGCAATACGATAGCCCTTCTATTGCGTTCTGAGCATGCGCACTCACGATTCGCAGTTTCTATAGCGTGCGCAAAGCTTTGGAGTACGGTCCACTAAAACTGTCTGATACTTCGTTGCACGCGCAGCCCAAATACGGCAGAAGGCAAAGCATTTTCACTGTTTTAGGAAGTTTCTTTTCCACCTACGGTGCACAGTTCTTTTGTTCACGCATCGAGATTGCCGCTTGTGCCGATTGACGCATTAGGTAGTACATACGCAAATATGAGGCGTCATCGGCAGGCGCCAAGTCGAACAAGGCCGCTCACTTGTCCGTCGATGAAGGGAACGATCGAGTTTGATGGGATAACCATATAATGAGTTTACTTTACGTCATAGTTTGAGGGGGGCGATCAAGGAAAGAAGCTGTTAGACACAGCCTGATGCGCCCTTGAGCGCATGATACATTGCGCAAGGACAGCAAACACAGCAGAAATAAAACGCTCGAACGTAAAGAAAAAAATGTATAAATCATGATTGTTACTAGTTTCATCTCACGCGTTCCAGACAATAACACTTTCTTCGCTTGAGGCGTGCGGATATTTGATGGCAAGAAAAAATACGAAACAAACCTTGTCCGTTTCCTTGCACGATCGGGAGTTTATGAATGTGTGGAGTCCAGAACACCAAAGACATACGTGTTACAACTTAACAACACAAAATCGCATGATCATGCTAACTAAAGACAGGTAAGCACAGAATGTGGGGTAGTCCTCCCATGGAAGAAGAAAAGAGCGTCTGAACGGCACCGCCTACCGAATATTCGCTCCCGTTTCTGACACACGCCGTGAGATGGCGCAGCATGACAGGGAAGGCTAGGGTGCCTAGATGTCTGTCTGTCTGTCTCAGGGTGAAGACATCCATTGTTGTCCGGAATGTGCCAGCGCGTGACGCTCTCGCGCACTCGGTGCGTGACTTGGGCGGTAAGATGGCGTCTATGCATCAGCCGAAGCTACGCGCTCGAGCTGAGTGACACCGGATTGCGCGCACTTCAAAATGCATAAAAAAACGATTGGGCGGAAAAATGGCTGAGATGTCACCACTCAAGCAAAAGCGCGCGTGTGTATGAAGGCACTCTAGGGAAGGCCGCGAAGCGCGCGACCGCGCCTTCGCGCAAATGACTTTGCTCTTGCGGGTTACCAACCACCGACCCTAGAAAGCTCAGTCAGCTAAGGATCTCAAGGTGTTGAGTTTGAATCCTGCCGGGAACTGAAGTATTTTTTGCTTGGGAGAAGAGCATGTTGATTTAAGTGATAAATAAAGAAAGAATAAACAATTATCACTGGGACAACACAACCACATCTTTCAGACAAGTATGAAAAATCTGGTTGTGTTGTCCCAGTGTTAATTGTTTATTCTTTCTTTATCCACGACATATTTCATATGGTTCCTTATGGGTGTAACGCTTCTCGGTGTCGGTTTTCGTGACTACCTAACAGCCGGCCGTTGCAGCCGACTGTTACAGTCAAACGTTAAAGAACTTCATGAAAATCGGCTGATCAGGCACATACTGTCCTAATAGGAAGTATTCACTGGACGCCATATTTGTGGGTGTTGTTTAGAGCGCATGCTCAGAACGTGCCCACATTAATAGGTTGCTTAGACCGGCACTCTTGATGGTGCGGAATGCACGTTGCAAAAGAGCTGTGGAAGCTCGGCATCAGCAAGCGCTCAGCATTCGCGCACACAGCTATGGCCGCCAGTGAATACTCCCTATATAAAGGTAAAGCCCCGCCCCCAAAGAAAGGCTTGTGCGTGACGTCACTGCGCCGTATACGGGTGGTCATTCTAGTTCTTGCCGAGAAGAACGAATGTGGGGGTGCGTAATGTGCGGTACATGCACAAGAGCTACACGCTCTCGAGCGAGACCACCGCACTATCCGCCGATTGACATCAGTGTGAGCCGTGTGTGAAGACGCACACCGTTTGACGTCACAGAATGGGACACGGCGAAACATGTACCTTTATGTATAACCGAGTAAAGTTGCTCTCAAGTTAACATATTATATATGTTTATACGAAGTGAAAAACTCACTGTGAGAAATATAGTTACAGTTGCGCACGAAAGGACAGGGACATAGAAGGCCAGGGACATTTTTGTAATAATAATTAATTGTTTAACAATAATATTAATACGTTACAAGGAGAGAAGTGTCCACGTCCTCCCTCCGCACATTCTGTGTCTGGCGACTTTATTCGAAAAAGTCACCGACAGGTTAAAAAATGCAGGGATTGGCTTATCTCCAAGCTTCCTGTTTAGTGATTTGTTATTCGACGTTATTTTCGGCTAACGGAGAGTTTTAGTATATCGTTCCGTTACCTCCGATAACGACACCCGATAACGATATGATGGTTGTGCGAAAGCGTTGGCGGATCGTATCGGGTATCGTTATCGAAGTCATCAGAACTATCTCCTAACATTCCCTAATGGAGCAATCTCATAGCCTGCGGAACGGTGACAAAGCTTTCGATACTCAGCACGCCCTGCGTTTCTTAAACTCTTGGTCTGTAGAAGTAAGATACCTATCACTTGTTTTTAACGTGAAATGTACTTTGGCTCGTTTTTCCGGCATTCGTGAAGACGTGTGGCCTGTAACGTCACGTGACTTCAGTTTCCCCCTAGATTAAGCGGGAAAATTGACGTCACGTAAAATCAACAGCAATTCATTCTCCCCGCTAAATTTAGCGAGAAAATGACGTCACATGACTTTGTGTCACCTAACGTATATGCAAGTTAAGTTTCCCCCGCTAGATTAAGCGGGAAGATTGGCGTCACGTGAAGTCAACGCCATTTCAGTTTCCCCGCTAAATTTAGAGAGAAAATGACGTCACATGACTTCGTGTCACCTAACCTCTACACCAAGTTAAGTTTCCCCCTAGATTAAGCGGGAAATTTTGCATCACGTGAACTCAACGCCAATTCAGTTTCCCCGCTAAGTTTAGCTTGGAAAACGATGTCACGTGACATACACAAATTCTTTTTCCGCTAAATTTAGCGGGGAAATTGACGCCACGTCCTCTGACGTCACGCGATGCTAGAAGCTTCACGTATGCAACATGATTGCCTCGCAATTAGCCATTTCTCGTTGTTGTTGTTTCCCCGTGAGTGTTGCAGCGTATACGAGCAGCGCGGTGTCTGGGTGCAGGTGTCACTGTGGACCTGCCCCGCCACCAGCACCCGGGGGGAGCCCTGCCGGGGGGGTCTGCAGTGACCCCTGCCGGGGGGCTCCTGGGCCCCGCCCTGCGCTCGTGGCCCGCGCGCTTCTTCTGCCGCGGGGTCAAGCTCAAGCAGCGCGTGGCCAGCGGCCTGCTGCTCGCCACCTCGGCCCTGGTCTTCCTCGCCATCGTGCGCATCACGGGCGTCCAGAATCCCCAGTACCGGGAATGGGCGCCCAGCCACCGCAAGGGGGAGCCGCCCCTGCCCCCGCAGGTACGCACGCGTTCACAGTCTGCTACGCGCGTTACTCGAAAAACAGAAGGAATCATGATAATGCTTCACAGCGCACAAGATCAGACACACTTAAAAAGGAAAATCACGCATACACAGGAAGAACACTCACGCAGCGCTGACTGACAACTCAAATGTATTATGCCTCATCTTCATCTTCACTCACTCCGATGCAAATGGCAGTGAAACAAAAAAAGCAAGGATCATATGAAAAAACAAAATATAGAAGGAAGAAAAAATATAGAAGGAAAAAAGTAATGAATTCCCTGTACAGCGGACGTTGCTACTCTGTTTTTTCTATATAGTTCAACTCTTTTTCCGTTAAGGCTAGCGAAGGAGTGCTAACACATATTCTATCTAGCCTTACAATGTTAGCGGTTTCTACTATTTCCCGCGTCGTTTTGTCCCAGCTCTGTCCCAGTATGGTGCATTTGTCTAGGAGGGGAGAACATCCACACGCTCTGCAGTGGAGGCCTAAATGACCCGAGTTGGCATTTATGGCATTGTTGTGGTGCTCACGAAGTCGGTCATTTAGACAGCGACCCGTCTGTCCGATGTAACACTTGCCACCTGTGAGGGGGAAGGAATAGATGACTCCCTCATTGCAGGACACGAACTTGTTCAGGTGGTTTTTGATACAACTGGTCGACTAGATGTCCCATTGACCTTCTTGCACAAGCTAGAAAGTCTATTTGGCGCGGAGAAGACAACGTCTACGTTGACTCTATTGGCCATTTTCTTGAGCTTGTGGGATAAGTTGTGGATGTAGGGAACTATGACAGGCCTTGTGGTGCGGTCTCTGGTTCTGCGTGTTATAGCTCCTTCCTGCTTAGCCTCCCTGAGTAGGACTTCGGCAACGGAAGTTAATAAAGACGGGGGGTAGCCCGCTAAAACCAACCGAGAAATTTGCATGTTGAAACTCGTAGTGACTGTGTGTTTGCAAGATTTTTCCAGAGAGTTTTTTAGGCATAGTTTTACAATGCCTCTTTTTACAAGCTTAGAGTGGGCGGAGCTATGGTTGAGGAGAGGCTTCTTTGCTCGAGGTTTGTACGACCAGCAGGTGTGATTGCTTTCAAAAAAGAATCGTAGGTCCAAGAATCTTATAGATCGCTCAACCGGAAGCTCATGGGTGAGTTTTAACGGGTGAAGGCACTTGAAGGTGGACAGAACACTGGCCACTAAGTCGGGGAAGGTTCCATTTTTACTGTCAAGTAAAATCAGGTAATCATCCACGTACCGAAACACACGCACTACTTTGGACTGGTCAAGGTTATGCTGCAATAATCTGTTATGAAATGCCAGAAAAAGGTCACTGAGTACGGGAGCTATACAAGAACCAATACATACTCCCTTTTTCTGCATGTATGTTAAGCCTTCCCAGGTGGCAAAAGAAGAATTCAGGTAGGTGGTTATTAAATCTAGGAAACCCTTGACTGAGACGCCTGACGCGTTTTGAAAGGCTATGACACCAAAGGAGTCAACACTTTCTTCTATGCACCTAAGAAGACGGTCTTGAGGGAGGGCATAATAAAGGTCTTTGACGTCGATGGAAAAGGCGTTGAGACTTCTATCTGTGACATCATGGAGGAATTGCCAGACCTCATCTGAGCTCCTAATCAGGTAGGGATCATTGATGTCAAGAAGGTTTAGTTTGTCTTGGAGGAACACTGCGATGGACTTTTGCCAAGTGCCTCGTTCAGACACAATGACCCTGAGGGGGCAATCAGTCTTGTGTGTTTTTGCACTGAAGAAAATCTCAAGGCTCGACAATTTGCTTTTGTCGATGGATGAACAAAGTTGTTTGAGGTCAAGAGAGCTACATAACTTCTTGGCTTGGCTTTTGATCTTACTTAAGGTGATATCTTGATGGCAATGGAAGACTGACTCAATGGCCGTTAAGGCCTTATTGCCAAACAAGGCCTTGTGCATGAGCACAAAACCACCTTCTTTGTCTGCCGGCAGGAGAGATAAGCTATGCCCTCTTAAGTAGGTTTCAGCCCTTTTAATGGACAGTGGGCTGATCGGGGTTGTATGGCGCGAGAGAATGTCCTCTCCTTCTGAAATACATCGATCATTTTCCGTATTGGAGGCTCGCTGTGAAACTTGCCTGACCAAGGAAAGTAACTCAGGTGCCGACTTGCGGGGTTCAACCGCAAACTTAGGACCGAGGCTGAGTACCTTCTCAACGCTTGGTGGAAGAGGGATGTCGCCTATTACATGCAAAGGTTGGCTTTGGTGTCGTGTCTTTCAAGGAGTAAGGGATCTGAGATGCTTCAAAGTGAGTCGCCACAGATATTCGGTTGTGCGGTCAGTGAGGTTGGAGTACTCACGCCATGCTCGTTTTCCATAGGGTGGACTCAAATTGTTGCATAACTGTACGAACAAACTGTTCCGGTATAGTCTTGTCTGCCGGTACCACTCAGCTTGTAAAATCTTGCACAACCTTCTGCCGTGGCCTACTGATGGGGCAAAGCCTCCAAACAGTATCTTGACTTCCGGAGGTAGAAGATGGAATCAATTACAATTGCTCTCGATTAAAACAAATTATTTTGTTAGATTACTCGATTACTCGAAAAGAAAGGTAATTGGCCGTTACTTGAAAAAAGTAACCGTTATTTTGCCGGTTACTTTAGATTTTCTGAACGACAGAGTTTTCCTTTCTGCCGATGTGAAAACGGATCTTTTGTACCGTCAATTATTCGATTAGAATCACGGAATAATAAACTACTTATCTTCCTTATCCGCCATTTTTGGTAAACCATCTTCCCGTAGGAGCTTGGTTCGAAAATTCCTCGGTATAGGAAACTTTTCTACAAACGAAGGGCACCATTAGGATGAAGGGGAAGGGAAAATAGTGACGGTTACAAGTAATTTTAGTACTTCCCGGGGGTAATCGGGTTACTTTTGCGATCACTTCCCAATAAACCTATTCGAATGATAACAAAATTACTCCCAAGAGTAAGAGATTGCAACTTAATTTCATTAGTCGAATAACGAGTACCGCGCAAGTCTGCACACACACGCGCTGTTTACAGACAATTCCCGGCGGGCAGTGCGCGTGCTCAGAAAACCAGACATGCCTGAGGTGAAGAGCGTCCGCGCGTTCGCCGGGCTGAGAGCAGCTCCACCGCAGCGGCCATCACTTCAAAACGCCCCCTTCATCCCTGCGGGCCACGTCGGGCGTATGCTGTCTTATCGGCAGCAGAGACATGTCAGACTCCCTTGGGGACAAACGAAAGCCACAATCGCACCGCTAATGCATCGTACAAAAAAAAAAAAAAAAAAACAGTCTGCGGAACTGAGACGCAGTTTGTACGCAGATTTGATTCGTTCTAGGGATCCCCGACAGACGGCGCCAGTGGGCATTGCGTGATCTCGTCCTGTGCGCATATGTGTGGTCGCTTTTATAGGCGGTGATCACGAAGCGGTTTCAACGCGGTGGATTACGCTGGAACGCAAAACGAAAATAACATATTTGTTTGTTAGTAATAACAAACAAATTTTGTTAATTAAATTATTTCGATTGAGCGACGATATGCGTGGCTGACCAAACGCTGCCGCGTGAACCGGACGAGGCCTATAGCAATCCTAAAGTAATCGCTCACGGATTTCAGTACGTTCGTTGAGTCGTCGCAAGCTAAGCTCTTTCCCAAATGTTCGAAAGCAAAAAGAGCATTTGCTGTGTGTATGTTTATTCAGCCGGAAGTTAGTCTGCCTCAGTGGACGTCTGGGCCGGCTTGCTCGAAGCAGAGTCTCAGTTGAGGCTGCTCAAAGAAAGCGCTGCCAAGGCTAGCGCTCGAGCTTAAACCGAGTCTCAGACGCTCGCGCGCCAGAGCTTTGGCAGCGCTTTCTTAGAGCAGTCTCAACTGAGACGCTACTTCTAGCAAGCCGGCCCTGGTGTCTCAGCTGTAGATGAGCAATTCAGCCAGCCCAGTACAACCGCTAGCCTGGGGTCTTTAACGTGAATCACGCAGTAGGGATACACGAACGCACGCCGGTGCGATGCTCATCCAGATCGAAACGAACAGGGGTGGGGATTGAACCCAGGATCCTGGTTCACAAATGTTCGATGAAACACCTGGAGAACACGTTTAATCGCTGTTGGCTGCGTGCTAACTACCGGAAACAACGCGATTGTAATAAATATAATAGTAAACGCGCGTTAGCTGCGTATAGGACCGCGACTGCTCGTTTCCCTTTCCTTTCACAGACGCGCGCACACACAGCTACACCTCAGTTGGTACGAGAACAATGAATGCTATTAAAAAAATGTCCGCTGATGTTGTGCGCATACAGGTGATCTTGAAGAGATACGTTTTATCCCCAGCCCGTGACTGTAGGGTGAACGCGGCTGACAAAAAACCTAAAAGTAACACACAAACGTCGTTTTCCTCTTTTTTTTCATTTTTTTAGTGCGTTTGTTGTTTGTTTTACGCGTTCGGCAATTTCCGCGTTCGAAAGCGCGCAACTTCCTTCTCGATCTAACCCGGGACTCTCGCCGGCAGGCCGGTCTGGGCCTGGACCCCACGGGCATCTTTTACAAGAAGCTCCTCACCAAAGCATCCCGGGAGACCGGATCGGCGAGACTCCCCCCCGACCCTCCCCAAGACAGCCCCCAGGAGGCCGCGGGTCGAACGTCGGCGCCTACGCTCAGGCCAGGAGCGAATGACGTCGACGGCCTCGACCGGAAGCGGGGCCGGCCCAGGGACGCCGACCGGGAGCCGGCGGCCACGACGACGACTCGGGAGCCCCACGACCCTTTCGTGGACCTGATCAAGGTGGCGTGGCCGAGCAACGAGCGCGACAGCGGGGCCTCCAAGAAGTTGGCCAGGAGGTACAACCCCACGCTGGGACACCTTCTGCGGATAGAGAACAGGTGAGCGGAGGCTACTATGGGGGTTTTCACGTGACGTCAATCCGTCATTCTGTTATTAGATATCAGCGTGATGAAACTTATAAGCTTCTGTGCACTACCGATTTGATGGTGTGATGGGAATCTACGGAGTGCTCGCCTTCTGCACGCGCCAGACTGCTCATAACAACAAAATGGTGGACGAAATGACGTCAGTGGGAGTATTCACTGGCGGCCATATCTGTGTGCGCGGCTGCTGAGCGCGTGCTGACGGCGAGCTTCCGCAGTTCTTTTTCAACGTGCGTTCCGCACCATCAAGATTGCCGGTCCTAGCAGGCTATTAATGTGAGCTCGTTCTGAGCATGCGCTCTAAACATCGCCCTCAAATATGGCGTCCAGTGAATACCCCCTATACTTCGTTTCAAGGTAACGTGGCGAAGAACGAACCCCACGGACGCCTCGAGCCCATAGAGCAGGGGTGGCCAAACCGTGGCTCGCGAGCCGCATGCGGCTCTTTGCTGGTCCAAGTGCGGCTCGCGGATCCCTCGGAAGGGGACCCCCCCTTCTTCCCGCATTTCCTTAGGAAAAAAAAAGGGATTTTAGGCAGAATGAAGTACGGCTCGTGGTTTGACAGTCTTGTACCTCCATACGTACTGTCGTACAGCCTTGTGCACTCATACGTACAGTCAGACTCTGAACAAAATTTAAACTCCCCCCCCCCCCCCCCCCCCCCCCCGTGGCTCTTAGAATTTTCCTGGTTTCGTTTGCGGTTCTTAGGCCTGGTCGGCCTGGCCCCCCCTGCCATAGAGTTTAATGCACGCTAGAGGTTCCACTGGCGCTAGTGTGCATCTCGCAAATTGAAGCTGTCGGTAACCGATCGAAAATTGACTTCCGGTAATGCATTTCTGTGGGAAAAAGTGAGTGCATTTTCTCCCCGAGCTTTATTGATTGAGCAAATATACAGAATAATTCGTACGTACTAGGTTGCTTGGAACATTTTTCAGTCTGGCAGACGAAATAATTGGTCACTTACGGCGTTTTTCCTTCAAATTCATCGCATTAAAAGCGGGGCTGAAACGGCTTCGTTCATGTATTTATGTGCACTGTCGGACACTGTTCGCGCGAACACGACGTCGGCACTTTTCTGCATAGGGGATATACGTGCCAAATGAACTAAGGACACCTTGAAACCCGAAGATAGGTGGCAAGGAATACGCAGTCACACTGAATCAGTAACTCCCTGTGCAAGTACGATCGGAATGAATTGAAGGACACGTAATATAGTCTGATTTGCAATAAGTACCGCTTAATTATTTCTGTCATGTGCAAAAATGCTTGTCCCGCGTTCAAAAGCATCACCTGCACGTTCAAAATTTTTGAAAACAAGTGCCTGAAAAAAGCTGCCCGGTGTAGAAAATAATAAAAACAAACCTTTCATAGCTCACATACTTTATTCTTTGCGTTTTGAAGGTTTTTAATCGCTCGTAAAGATGCAAGACGGGGTCATTTTCATTTAGTGATAGGACTGGCATATTAGCAATATGTTGGCGTCACCGGAATGCTGACTAACCTTCAACACACTTTATATTCCCTTCGATCGCTATTTTGTTCAAAATCGTCACTTGTTTTTACACACCTGCTGTGGAACGCAGGTTTGGGCCTGAAATCGAGCGAAGTTAAACATCGTTGACTGATGAAGAAAAAATCGCAAACTAAAGCAATTACACTTTTACAATCTTAATAAAGATACGTGCTATTCGGTACGACCCAAATAACAAACGTGTTCTATGTTATTTTTCAGCGAAGAGACAAAATGCACTTGCGTTTTCCCATAGGAACGCACAAGAGCACCGCAAAACTAGACTGGTTGCTGTCTGCTTCAATCTGCGTTCCGGAAGTTGCATAGACACTAGCGCCAATTGAACCTCTAGCGTACATTATCATGTGTAGTTTTCATAGACCCCGTTTTCCCCTCCGCTAAGCCGTCCGCAATGAAGAATTCGTTACTCCGCCTGTGCGCCGATAACCTTGACTGAAGAGTTCCGGGTGTCGTTGCGGGTGGCGGAGAGCGTTGCGGGACTGCGAAAACGATCCACGAAAACTCCCTAATAGGGAGTTTTTGTAGACCGCGTTTCTCCCTCCGCTAAGCCCTCCGCAACGAAGAAGTTACTACTGCGCCTGCGCGCCGATAGTCTTGACTGTAGAGTTCCGGGTGTCGTTGCGGGTGGCGGAGAGCGTTGCGGGACTGCGAAAACGATCCACGAAAACTCCCTAATAGGGAGTTTTCGTAGACCGCGTTTCTCCCTCCGCTAAGCCTTCCGCAACGAAGAAGTTACTACTGCGCCTGCGCGCCGATAGTCTTGACTGTAGAGTTCCGGGTGTCGTTGCGGGTGGCGGAGAGCGTTGCGGGACTGCGAAAACGATCCACAAAAACTCCCTAATAGGGAGTTTTCATAGACCGCGTTTCTCCCTCCGCTAAGCCCTCCGCAACGAAGAAGTTACTACTGCGCCTGCGCGCCGATAGTCTTGACTGTAGAGTTCCGGGTGTCGTTGCGGGTGGCGGAGAGCGTTGCGGGACTGCGAAAACGATCCACGAAAACTCCCTAATAAGGAGTTTTTGTAGACCGCGTTTCTCCCTCCGCTAAGCCCTTCGCAACGAAGAAGTTACTACTGCGCCTGCGCGCCGATAGTCTTGACTGTAGAGTTCCGGGTGTCGTTGCGGGTGGTGGAGAGCGTTGCGGGACTGCAAAAACGATCCACGAAAACTCCCTAATAGGGAGTTTTTGTAGACCGCGTTTCTCCCTCCGCTAAGCCCTCCGCAACGAAAAAGTTACTACTGCGCCTGCGCGCCGATAGTCTTGACTGTAGAGTTCCGGGTGTCGTTGCGGGTGGCGGAGAGCGTTGCGGGACTGCGAAAACGATCCACGAAAACTCCCTAATAGGGAGTTTTCGTAGATCGCGTTTCTCCCTCCGCTAAGCCCTCCGCAACGAAGAAGTTATTACTGCGCCTGCGCGCCGATGGCCTTGACTGTAGAGTTCCGGGTGTCGTTGCGGGTGGCGGAGAGCGTTGTGGGACGTCGAAAACGATCTACGAAAACTCCCTAATAACTCTATGCACGAGCCAATCGGAGTGAGGAAGGTGAAGCACGTGACAGCCCTTACCATATTTTATTTTCACTAATTAAAAACTTAATTAACAGATTTTAGTTAATTACCCTACTTAACATGCCCCCCCCCCCCCCCCCCCGGGCCGTCTATAGCTCACCTGAACAGACTGCGTTAGGGTTGCTTTCACCCCTTTTTTTAGTAAATCTAATAATACTAAAAGCTAAATATCCACACGGCCCGGTTAGCTCTATTCTCTGACAGTGATTGTCTTCTTCCGGCCAGCCAACCTCAGGAGCCGTGTAAGCACGAAATCTGTAGGTCGGTCAGTCCGTCACCTCTGAACTATCTTGAAGAAAAAGAAATAGAGGAGCAGACACAGGTGGTATAGAAAAAGCGCGCGGAACAAGGAGGAATGGGAAAGGCAGGAAAGTGCGCTTCCCCTCTTTTGGTGACCCCGAAAATTCAGCGCAAAGGCCTCGTGTTTGGGCGGCGTTGAAGGGAAGCGCGCGCAGCGTCACAAAGATATACAGTGATGTGACGTAATCTGTTTCCATACACAACCCTGCCCTAGGCACCACCTGAACTAAGACCACCACCCATACCAGGCACTAAAAGGCTAAGAGTTATCCTACCCAACCTAAGTGCACCACCCACCCTATGAAGCTACCGAATTTAAACGCGTTTGGCAGAATAACCAGACACGACACATCCAAGTTTTCGCCGATCTTTTTTTTTTCCATCCCCTGGGGGGGGGGGGGGGGGGGGGGCAAGGGGGAAAGAGAAAGGGGGGGGGAGAATGGGATCCACTAATTATGACGTCATGCGCAGGTCTTGGCCTCTAGGTGGTATTTGCTCAATTCCCACACACGCTGGTTTCGATCTGGATGAGCATCGTACCGACGTGTGGCCGTGTATCACAACTACTACTGGAGTCGTACTGCACTGGCCAAATATATCCTCTACAGTGGATAACAATGTCGCCCTACTCTGACATACTGAACTCCCGCTCTCTGAAGAACCAAAAACCAGTTTATAATTTTTCCATTGATCTTTCCTTGGTCAATCTCCCTCTTCAGGGTCAGTCTTTGTCCTCTTCGATGTCTTCCTCTTCTGACAAATCTCTCCATGTGCGCTTCTTTCCCGCGCAGCTCCAACATGACGAGCTGGGAGCTGTTCCAGACGAGTATTGCCCGGGACTATCTCTACCCAGAGAACTCGACCCTGGTGGACAAGCTCCTCCACGAGATGGCCACGCTACCCATCGTCCACGTTGGTGAGTGCTCGTGATGACGATGGTGATGAAAGTTGTTTAGAAAAAGAAAGGGCGCTCTAGCGGAATCAAGAAGGGGAGGGAAGGGCGTTAGATTCTTCTCACGAGGTTGGCGTCCAGTGCATACTTCCAGAGAGAGAAAGGTAGGTCTGTCTGGATTGGGCTATGGCCGAGTCCCCTCGTTGTATGAGCGAATGTGTGCGGATCGGTGCTTCTCCCGGTGGTGCTGCAGTGCAGGGCAGTCCCACATAAGGTGTTGTATGGTGGGTCAGGTTGACTGCTGGCAGGGAGAGCAGGTTGGTTTGTGAGGGCTGCTCTCGGTCCGGTAGCATTGCCGTTTGAGGCGGAGGTCGTCGGTGATGGCGAAACCTCTGATCGTCTCGGCAGCCAGTACCTGCGCTCCCCTCGGGGAGATTGCGGGGTATCGGAGTGTCGAGGGTGGGTACCGTAGCCGGAAGGGCCGCTTTGGTTTGAGTAACCTGGGAAAGATTTTCGTTTTCACAAGTGCGGGGTAAAGAACGCAGGGTGGGAGCCCCGAGGGTTGTGTAAGAGAAGTGTCTCCCCTCGCAAGTCCGTGGGCTGCCTGATTCCCGAAAAAGCCCGGTCACACTGTCAATGCATCATACAAAAGACAGCCTCCAGACACCGACTGATGCCTGTTTGTTATTTTGTATGATAATCCTTCGAACACCTCCGCAGATAATTTTTTTTTGTATGACCAACGTCACATTGTTTAAACAAACACCTGTCTACAGACATATTGGAAGCGTCAAACGTTTGAAACAAGCAGGCTTCGAAACATGCCTGAGGCGTCTCTGCGGGCACTTCCCTCGTCACACCTCTGCAGCAGACAGTTCATAAGTCTTTTGCATGGTGTACGGGTAGTGTACGAGTGGATGGCCAATCGACGGTCTTCCTGCTTTACCAGTTGAACCAATGAGAAGGGCAATTGGTATCGTGCTCCACTAGTCATAACATTTCTCCGGCAAAATGGGTGGAGGGACGTCTGTGGCTGAGACCTGTCAATGCCAGCTTAAAGCCGCAGTCATGCTGTTCGTGCATTATACAAAAGACACGGTATCCGGACATGATGGCATGCGCATCTGCACCTCAAGCACGTTCGGGTTATTTTCGCTTCCTACATCCGAATGGCTGGGGCAACTCGGCAGGCACTTCTTATATACGACCAATGGGACAGGGACCGTCACACAAAAAGGACACGCGCCGCAGGAGGTACCTGCAGAGAGTCTTCGCATGATGTATCAGCAGTCTGAGACGCTGCTTAAGAGACACACGCGTACGGTGTGGCGAGTCTCGAGGGCATCTCATTATCGCTCCTCGGCCCAATCAGATTGCGGCATATGCCCATTCGGGGCGTGACGTGGGTCACGCTTCTCATGGTCCAAAATGTTTATAGGGGCACAAATGAGGTACTTAGATTTGGCGATAAGTGTTTGTACCGAGTGCATCTGAGGGCACTATGCTTCTGAAAGTTCGTTCTGCAATCTGTTTGACGTTAACACGGCCTGCAGGCGGGCAATATAAGTACGAATGCGTTAGCTCAACTCTGTGCTCTCGCTGCACAAGCGACTGCGCAGGATGCCGAGAAGATCCAACTGTAGGGGGCGCTTTGATGGGCTTGTTTTCTACGGAGCCCGGTGACCACGGTGCGTTTACCTGCCGGATTCTTTTCGTCGTGGCTCTTGATCCAGGTGACACAAACTAGACACGAACTGGACACGTGTCCCCCGACATCCAGGGACACTTGTCCATCGAGTGTACCATGGACACTTGTGGGAACATAAACTGGTCGCGAGTGCTGCGTCAGCATTTGGCTCAAAGTCCTGTTTAAGCGGTGCTTCACCGACTGAAGGCGAGCCCCCAGCCAAACCCTGACGCAGTGTTCGAACACGTGAGGCCAGCGCTGCGTCAGAAACGCAAGCTAATTTCTGTCGTTGTTGGTCCCCACGACTTTAGTTCTCAAGTCAGTCCCTAGGGGCGCGACGGTTGGATCTGCTCCCCAATAGACCAAACAACGTCAGCATACTGTGACGACGCGCTGACGCTGGGATTGACTACTTCATTACTCTTAAATTTAAAAAAATTTCCGACGTTTTTTTTTTTTTTTTTTTTTTTTTTTAAAGGGATACTTTAACGAAATTTGAAATATTCCCGTCGTGTTCAAAAATAGGTTGAATATGGTCCACAATATCCGTAAATGACAATCGCACGTTTGTATTTTGATCCTGGTGGCTGTATTTTTTGTTTTAAACGGTCCACTCTGGCAAGCACTCGGAGAAGGCCCAGCTTAGAGCACGTGACATCCAACGCAATCGTGACGTAGGTCGTCTCGGGATGAGCAAAGCTACGGCGAGGCTGACGTCGAGAGGATGGCCTAGTCCATAGCCTCCTCTATACGGAGAAAGCCTGGCACATCGACGACGGAGCCATAGGGCGCGCGGCCGCAGGAAAAAGGAGAGGAGGAGCGCGCCGAACGGTGACCAATATGGTAGCGCAGAGCAGAAAGGGCAGACCTAGACAGCGAGCGCTTGGGTCATGAGCGGCCGCTCCCCGAACCACGCTTGTTTTTGTGTTTTCGTCACCGTCGTTTTTGTACTCCGGGAGAAACGGGCGCGGCGATTCGAAAGGGCGCAGGGAGAAACGGGAAAGGGTGGACGTGAGTTTCTCCTCTCCGCGATAGCGACAAGAAAAGAGAGAGAGAAAACAAAATTGTTTTTGCGTTTGGCCGCTCGCTCTTTTGTGGCGCTAGCGGGCAAGGTTCTCTCCGCTCCCGTTTCTCCGCCCCTCCTTTCCCATTTACGGCGGCCGTCTTTTCACGCGACGCGCCAGGCTTTCTCCGTATAGAGGAGGCTATGCCTAGTCATTCCAGCCACCGAAGCGGCTGCTTTTGTACGAATTTCGAGTGACGGGTTAATCTTCTATAATCTTCTAGGGGGACAATAGCGACTTCTGCGACACACAAAAGGGATTATCGGGAAGAGGGGAGCTACCCTTTCCCCCCTTCTCTCGTCGTGGCTGGAGACGAGACAACCTCCGTCACTAGCTGTGAAGGTTCCTAGACGAGCATTACAAACGAGGCGTTAGCGACATCCACCAAGTGCTCTTTGCTAATCGTTTAATTCGTTTTAAAATTCCTTTTCGAGACTTTTTTAACAAGATATTTGCATGTTCCATGTGATACTGCTCTTTTGAACACATATGGACCAAAAAATGAGCGCCGAAATTTCGTTGTAGTATCCCTTTAAGCGATTTCCTTATTTGGCATCTTCCGGCCACTTTGAGGTATGTTTCTGGCCGTTTATTTCCCCCGCTAAACTTAGCGGGGAAGATGACGTCACATGGCTTGATGTCACGTGATTTATACACAAATTCAGTTTCCCCACTAGATTTAGCGGGAAAATTGTCGTCACGTGACCTCAAGATCAACTCAGTTTCCCCACTGAATTTAGCGGGGCAAATGACGTCACATGACTTGATGTCACGTGACCTAAACACAAATTCAGTGTACCCGCTAAATTTAAGGGGAACATTGCCACGTGACCGGCCGTGGGTCTTTCAATTATGTCTGCAGCAAGTCGTTTAATTAGACAGCAACATGGTTGGTTCTGCCCGAATTTTTAGCCACTCAGACTAAGCACATTGAAGAAAGGGTAAAAACACGGGCGAGCTGCTGAAGAGCTTCAATATTCACCAGAGACACGGAACGATAAAAAAAACGGACAAAACAACCAGTCTCAAGCACAGCTTCTATAGTTTATTTGAACAACGAACGCTTTGCCCTCTCAGGCGTGCTATTTGTTATCTCTAAATTCAAAATAGCGATTGAGGAAACGGCAAATGAAGGTGATGCCGCAACCAACCTTCAGAGTTTCCCCCACTCCCCAATGCGGTGACGTCACAGGTAATACAGCTAATGCCCCCGAATATTTAGGTACAACCTGCACGTTGAGCAGGCAGTCCAAAAACAGTATTTTGAGCATGTTGCTTTAAAGCATGAAATGCTTTTTAACTCTACCTCCCCCCCCCCCCCCCCAATCTCGAAATGTTATCAGTTCGTCCGTCCGTGCTTTTTTCGCTAAATTTAGCGGGGAAAGTGGCTTCACGTGACGTATACACCTTGGGGAAATTGACGTCACAGGACCTGTACGCCAAATCAGTTTCCCCGCTAAATTTGGCGGGAAAATTCCTGTTTTGTGACCCAGACACAAATCCAGTTTCCCCGCTGAATTTAGCCGGGGGAAATCGGCGTCACGCGATCTATACAACCATTCGGTTTCCCCGCCAAAATTTGCAGGGAAAGTATACATCACGTGACGCACCAATTCCCTATGATGCATTTGATGCATCATAGGGAACTTAAGCCTAAAAGTCCCTGCCGAATTCTTTTTTTCTTTTTGTAAAATATTTTTTTAGGGGCGAAGCTCCTCTGGGGCTAGCCATGTCCGTATGTCTGTCCGCCGTCGGGTGCACGTGCTCCTGCTCGTGAGCTCACGTGCTCACGAGCGCGTGAGCACGTGCTCCCGTGCTCGTGTAGGGAAAAAAAAAACCGCATCTCCACGTGGTGAATGATGTTGATTGGGGCGAAGCTCGTGGTGCTTGTCTGCGTAGACGGTGAGCTGCAGCGTGCCGAGCCTTTCGTTCGTTTTCCTCCATGCCAGAAAGAGAATTTGTAGTACGGAACGTGGTTATATACGCATTTGAGCATTTGACTGCAGCGTGACATGGATAAAAACGAACGAAAGGCTCGGCATGCTGCGGCTCAGCGTCTACGCAGACAAGCACCACCAAAGCTTCGCCCCAATCAACATCATTCACCACGTGGAGATGCTTTTTTTTTTCTTTGTTTTGTAGTTTATTGTGAACTTTTTGTAACCACCGAGAACAATCTGTAATGCCCCCATTTTGCCCCATCTTGCAACATCTGACATCAGGTTTTCAGTATTGCCAGTAGAGCTTCTCAGCCTTTCAGACCAATTTAAAAC